TATATATTTATCATAATATAATTTTATAATAAAAATATGTAGTGACATAAAACCTGAGTTGGATCCACAATCTCTTAAAAAATAAAAAGACATATGAACTATTCAGGTAAATACTTCTTAATTAATCAATTAATTATAATAAAAAAATATTAATTTTTTTTTAATATATTATAAGACTATTTTACTTTTCAAGATATTTTTATGTCATAAGACAAAATTATCTCTTAAAATAATCTTATTTTTTAAGACATTATTATTTTTTACAGTATTTTTGCTTCTTAAAAATAATACATTACTTTCAGAATAATTTCACCTCCTACGATCATTTCATATGAAGTAATTAAAATTAAGAAAAAAAGTCAGAAATAACTCTCTTTATATAGATAATGTATCCAAGAATATTTGAAGTCTTCACTTTGCTAATTGTCAATTGCCAAAGAATAAAAATTTGGCTGCTTGTGTTTGTATCACTTAGCTTAACATGACCTAAACCTCCAACTACAACTAAGTATTTCAAGTTCAAAACATGTATTCATATTTTTTCCTTACTTGTTACTTATTTTTATTTTCTATCATTATTGATTGAATGTTAAATGATTGTATTGAAAAATTTTTACCACATAATTCTCACATCCTCTTTCGTACACATTTTTGGATAAAAAATCTTTCATCGTTCCTTGAATTCTAACAAATATTTGATGCAGAAACAGATTCATCTGACAAATTTAGGAGAATAACAACTTTCTTAGTAATAAGCTAAGGAAAAAAAAAAAGCATTTAAACAATAAAATAGTAAGATATGCTTACAATTATGTTTCTCTTAAATAAACTATCATAAAAGTTGATTGTAATATGCAGAGAAGCTCCTGCTTTATACACCCATAAGGAAGAGAGTGAGTAAGAAGAGAGCATGGAGGGCTCTGTGCGTGTGCAATGTGGTGCAGGCCTTAAAAAAAGTGTAAAAACAAAAAGCAGGTTTTTAGGGTTTTGGGTTGTGAAAAAACAAAGGCCACGTGACGTGTACTCCCAGCGTGCACTGAATTTCAATTTCTTTCTCTGCAAATGGAACGTGGCCAGCTGTATGGCATGGGGGGCATTTTTGTAAATGCAGATTATATCTTGACCACCAAAACCAACCAGAATGACAGACAGAGATATTAATAATGTACTTTTACATAATTGGGTGCTGCCTCCTTTAAAGTAGAGAGCAGAGCATGGACTCTGATCAAGGGGTTTAAGTGGCATGAGCTGTACCCTCTCATGCTCTGAGTTGGCATTATGAAGAAATAAAGGAAAAATTCACTCATAATACCATGATTTCTAAATTCTAGATTTCATGTCAAGAGCATCGTGGTCAAATAATTAAGCTACTAATATTTTATTTAAATTTAATTAAGAATGTAAAATTTATTATTTTATACATTAATAATAAATTAAAAATATTAGATCCCTAATGTGATTAATATTTAATTTATTATTGTGTTGATAGTGTTATAATGAATAAATTAGAAGATGGTAAAAGAAATATTATATAATAATTATTTTTTAATAGAAATAATTACTATATATAAATATCCAATTTAACTTTTTGGAAATTAAATTTTTTTTCAAATATTATTATTTGCATTCTCTTCTCTTTTTGCATCATTGCAAAGGTGGAAAAGGAGTGCTAATATTAGTTAGGGAGAATATACTTTCTTATATGTTGAGCTTCTTATATATTAAGTCACCGCGGCACGTAATCTTTTTGAAAAATAAATTAATAATTCATTATGGGATGTCTTGAAAAATATTTAATGAATTTAATTGATAAATATGATATAAATAAGTACTACGTATACATATGTATATGATGACTTACTGTAAAATAAGAGCTGTTAGTTTTGTTTTTGTTAATGTTATTGGGATACATTAATTGAATTACAATCACCTCATTTCTCTTTGATTCATCACTAAGATGTATCTTCAGCAAGAGATGGTGGATTAGAATCATATGATTACTGTATGTATATCACGTAATTAATAAATATATTTATTTTTTTACTTAAAAAAATGCTTATGTATTAATTGCAACTAATTGATCAGATGCAAAAGATAATTGATGGAATATGTAATAATAATCGGATTAGGGGGTAATGCTTTGAATATACCAGGTTCATGCTCACTATGATTATGAGCTAAACTAATCAAAGAATATATATTAAGTATTCAACATTTGAACAGAAGATCTAGATAGGACAAATCAACCATAAATCATGATCATATAGGTGTTGAAAAATATATTCAACGAATTAGATTGAGATTTGAGTGCTATGTATTCAGCGCATGCTTAATTAATGAAGTTAGAAAAGAAGGGTAACTCAAGAGGAGCAAACTGTACCTATTCCTTCATATATATATATATATACACACACACACACACGCGCGTAATTTCTGAAAAAAAGAGTAAAAGAAAGAAAGAAAAAAAAAAAAAAACCATCATTTAATTCGTGCTAAATTAAGCTCAAATTGATGATATTTGGTGATTATACTTGTACAGAACAGAAACTTTTAATATTGAGAGAGAGGCCAAGTGGGTGGTGGGGGATTGAGCTGGCTGGCTCGTGCAGGCAAGAAATGATGGTCACGTCGTGGGTAGGATATGTAGAATGTATATTAGAGACACGTTGAATTACATGTATCACAGACTATTAACATATACATATATAATAATCTCTAGGCTTCTTACGTGAGTGTTATACGTATACACGTGTATGTACATAATAAGGCTTGAGACACAGACAGATAAGAGACCAACCAGAACATGATGTGACCACGCTACTCCTCTGTCTCTCACATACACACTCCATTTTTCTATTATCACACACCACGTTTATGCATCGTGTCAACGAGTCACCCCTCACGTGCGACTACTACTGGATGTGGGGGTGAATTGTACTGTCTAAGCTTCATATGCTACACATGTAAATATATATAGTTGATGGTTTTGAAAAGAGTTGAAAGCGTGTCCAGTACAAGTTAGAGACAACAGATAGCCACGATTGATATGTTTTGAGCGAATGTGTCTGTGTCGACAATCATTTATGGTGGTGGGGTTTGGTCGGTACCGTTGGATTAGTGTACTATACTAGCTGGTCTTGGCATGAGTTGCGGCAGTTATAGGTACTTGTAGTTTGTGTAGTAATTTACCTTTTGTTTTAGGACTCTGATTCCTAACTGGATGCCATTTGTTGACCACATTTCGCAATCTGGCAGAGCTCCCTTGCCAATGGAAATATGGTGCACCCTACAATATTTCTCAAGAGAAGATTCACATGTATATGAAACAGTGAACGTGCATATATATATATATATATATATATTCATATAATTCCACTGAACATAATTAAGTGATCATATATTTTTCCCCACCTTTGGCGGTCAAGGTTATTCAGCATCACATACAACGGTTATGCATGCATCAATTCTGTAAACAATCTGTTGAGAAACACTATCCATCGGTCATGCCTAAAAAAAAATCTGAGGTGTTCTCCCAAATATTTTACATGGCCATGGATTTAGAACTTTTTGATCAAGAGATTCTTGTAACAGTATTCTGTCCCCGGGAGATGCGAAGCAACAAAAGATCAACATTTTGGCTTATTGGGTAAAAATTAGAATTGCCAATTTACTCCACGAAGATCCAAAAGATGAGAACTAATTTGCACCGAGGCAAAAACTATATGATGTTTTCCGTTGTCTTTTTGTTTAAACACATTCAGGTTTTGCACTATCTCTTCTTTAAGTTATCTTTGAAGTAATAGGATATGACATGTCAGTTACAATCGAATTAAACAAAATTCTATGGTCATTCCAAACCTAACCTTGTTATTCGCTTTAATTTTTTATTTCAACCACACAAGATAAGTCTATTCCCTCATTTAAGCTGTACACCCACTTTGTACCCACTATCCTCACCCAATGGTTTCAAGTCTACGAGAATGATGACATTGGGATTGTACAGTTAATGATTAATAATAATGAAAAGTTCCCATAACTCTCAAAATCTACTTGCTGATCTAGAAAAACAATTGACTTGAAGATAAGAACTTTAAAAAACAGTTAAAAACCTATTTACAGATTGTGAAATTTACGGACGCAATTTTGCTAGAAAAAGGACAGAAATTGATTTAGCAATATAAGACTCAGAATTCGAAATAAAAAAAATCTTATGATTTCATATAGGCAAAGATGGGGGGAAGCAAGTCTACAAAAAACATTTGCGTGTTTCATGCTTATAGACATGCAATTATTTAAAAACTAAAAAAAAAAAGTCTAGATCATGGAAAATAATTTATTCTAGATGCTTAGGACGAGATTAGATTCAACTGCGTAGAGAGCTAGCCAATAATGCTACCTGCTTCAATTTCATCCACTTTCTGAGCCTTGGCTCTAGTGAGTAAGACCTAACCTTTTAATGCATGAGAAATCTAAGATGGACTTTAAGGACCAAAGGTGATAAATCAGCCATCGTGGCAAATTAATATTCTTGGAACCACACAGTAAGCAACCAGAACGGGTTAGTCAATCCGAAAAGGTGATTTTCTGGTAAACTCCCAGGTGTCCAAGGAAAAGACATACCTCATACCTCTAAAGTCTCATTGACTATGGAGGAGATAATTTTGCATTGCAAGTTCTCGAGCAATCCTATAGATAGAACACAATGAAAGTCCAGAAAATATATGAACACATACTAAGTCAGCTACCAGAAGGAAAATATATACCATAGGCCAGTCACCAGCGGCTCAGTTTTCATCCTCGACCCACATGCAGGATTATCTTCTACTGTTGAGACCCAAGCACTTTTGTTAAGTTTTGTCTTGCTGGTATTGTGGGTTGCAGCACTCTGATCAAATTTGGCTTGGGGAACAATTACAGTTTCTCCTCTCAACCTAGTTCCTTAGAATAGAGGCTATGGTGTCGATCATTTGTCAGCATTTGTCATTGACAACAAAACGGGGTTTAGATGTTTCAACAATAACATTCAGGTCCTCATCAAATTTAGCCTTCTTCAAATGATCAGAATATTCTACACTAGCAGAAACAAATTTACATTGTGACTACTCACTACAGCTTAGTTGCTGATGGGAGCATCCCAACAATTGGGGTGGGGGGGGGGGGGTAAGGCAACAAAGCTCCACAATATATAGCACTTGAATTGAAATCATATTGGTCCACCTAAATGATGCTACATGTGTTGGAATTAAACAATTTTACAGACCTAATATTCGTAAAATTGGTTGAAGACAAGCTAGAATCCCCTATTCATTGCCTGGCATGGTAGGAACAATAAGATGCTGTCCTTGTCCCTGCAAGATACGAACCCAAAGCAGCAAATCATCATTTTTCTGAAGAAAATCTAAAGTAATCATCATATCCAATTAGATGCAATTCTGATGCATTTCTTGCCAGTAATTTTTTGGCAAGAAATAGGAACAATTTCAAAAGAGAACCAGGAGATGCCAAACTCTACTGAGACAAGGTCAATGAACTTTTCTAAGCACTTTTAGCAGCATGATCACATCATGTCTTCGTCTAGTACTGGAGACGACTGGTTCCAAATCTTGATTTGTTTAACAATCATCTTAAATCTAGATAGAATTTAAGGTATGTTATCAATATTTTTATTTCCTTTTGGTAATATGTAACACTTCTTTCTAAATGAGCTGCACCCTCTTGGTGTGCCGTTCCTATTATTATAAATCTTTTTTCTCTTCCAAAAAAGGTGGAAATTTCAAGCAAAAGTACTAAAAAAAGGACAGCCTATGCTACACTTTGCACTAGCCTTGACAGAGTCTCCCAGATGCATCAGAACATGGAAAATTTTTAAATTTTCCAGTGACTGAGAACTGAGCTTATATTCAATCCACAAAATCTTCCGAACTAGCCACTAAAAGATCTTAGCCTCTTTCACTTTTATTTCAAAAAAAAAAAAAAAAAACAAAGAGATCCTAGCCTCTTTTGAAAATTTCCTGTCAGTCTACTAAAGTTTCTTTAAATGATAGCTGGTATCGTGAAATCTTGAAAATCAAACCTAATAGCAATCCCCATTCAAAGATTTAATACAAACTGTACAATCTGAAATGATATATCAAACTTTCCCCCACATTCAAAGATTCAATATAACCTGCAAACTCCGAAATGATATACTCAATCTTTAAATGATAGTCTACTAAAGTTTCTCTTACACAGGAATGATCCTTTTTTCTAAACATAACTTCTCTAAGACCATATGTTCTTTTTTTTTGGGGAAAAAATGAACAAAGGTGGCCTCTATTTACAGCATCTTTGAGACAATATTTTTCAAAGTACAGGGGAGTAAGGTGAACTTTACTACTAACTCTATTTAATAATTTTTAAAGAAATCTAACAAGGTAAAGTAGGGTTTATTAAACACTATTCTTAACCCTCAATGATCCAACAATCCAAATTGGAGGGTCGAGAAGCTTCATAATTCATTATACACAATATTTTTGGTAAAGTGACCTAATTACTTATTCTTTTCCTATTTGATAATATATATTTTTCATCTAAAGAAATACTTATTGTCATATTCATAAAATCTCTACCTTACTTTTGAAAACTTCCATTTGATCTTTTTACTATAGGTAACTTTCAGATAAAGGTTGGTTATGATTGTTAGGGTCAATTTATTTTATATTTGACTATTTGTTGGGTGGTTAAAAAAGAGAGGAACAGAAGAGTGTTCGAGGGGATTGATGGAGAGATGTCGAAAATTAGGAATAGATGGATTCACTATTTTGGTTCTTTAATTTTGAGTCATCATATTTATAGGATTGAGACTTTTGGGAATGTCATAAATACACTAACAGAGCTGTAAATATTTTGTAAATAGGTAGCATCCCTTTGGTACTGTTTATCTAATAAACATACTATCCTTTTTATTTTTTAAAAAATGATTATTAGGGTCCATTTGGCACGATTACTTCTTGAACTGTAAACTGCTAAAAGTGCTTTAAGAAAAGCTTTTAACAAACTTAAGAACGTGCTTTCACAACAAAACATAGTATTATATTTAATTAATTATGTTATAAAATTAATAGTAAATATTAAAAATAACAAAAAATTATAATTAATAATTATATTTTAAATTTAAAAATATTAAAATAATAAATTAGTGAAACATAGTCAATAAATATAAAAATACTTAAATTATAAATTAGCAAAACATAGCAAAAAACAAATTTGCTTCTACCTAAAAGAACTTCTGTTTTTTTAACATTTTGACGGACTTCTACTTCTTGGTAGCAGAAGTAAAAGCCCTGCTGGACATACACTTATCTTATTCAATTTTAAAAATCTTTATTTTATATTCTTCCTTAGGCTCCTAACCATAGTGTTTGAGAATAAGAAATTGATACAGTACAGCTCTCATAGACAATTTACCTTTAACCTTCATGGTCAAGTAATAGAAACAAAAACAAGTGCCTAACTAACCACCCAACATGTAAAACAGTTACAACTTCCTAATGTTCAAGCAAATCAACAAAACACATAAGGAATTGGAGTTAAAGTATATGCTTAACCTATCCATAACCATACACCATCCACTCTGCTGAGATCCGCCAACCATGACATACAACCACAACATGATTGAAATTGAAAATAAAGAACTTTAGCATCTGTTAATTTACATATTGTTTGTTTTCATAAGGAAAACAATTTTGAATGCATAAAAAAGTTTAAGTTGAGGGTAAGTATTAAAATCTCTATTTTTCTATTTTGTTTTCGTATTAATTTTACTCTCTCACAAAAGTCTTAGTTGATTATTCTTTTTATTTTATTTTTTCACATGTATAAAACATATGCATACACACACAGAGATTATTAGTTATAAGTGAAAATTTCAACATGTATGCATATTATATATACACATACATGTAAAAAGTAAGATTATTATGGGGAATGAGCCATATATATATTTGACAATGAAAATCATGTATACATGCCAATACACAAATGCTGGACTCAAGGGGGGGCACTGGTGATGGCCCCCTTTTGCCCCCTCTTAGTTCTGCCATTTTTTGTCATTTAAAGAAGCAATACATGATGATGTTCTAAATATCATTAAGAAATAGTCCAACACACAGGTGAACCAAAAAGCATATAGGACCAGTCTGCCTTGAGCTTAGGCGAACATGAGCAAATAGAAAGAAAGATATCTTTACATAACTTCATATTTCACAGAAATTCCACCAACACTCTTACTCCCTTGTGACAAGATAATAAGTTAAGCCTGAACTTAAAATACTTATTTAAGTCTCAATAAACCATGGTTGCTACTAGAAAGATACGATCAACATTGTATTTGATAATGCACCTCCCATGATAATGGAAATATAAGAATATGTGCATGTAGACACTTTATCTGGTCTGTAATAATATCTGAATTTTTTGGTGTTTGGTGGGTGTGTAATATGTACCTCCTCCATCCATGTGTGTGTGTGTGTGTGAGAGAGAGAGAGAGAGGCAGACAGACAAAGGAAAAGGGAAAGAAAGAGAGAAACACTTACTTGGTTATTGATGTAGTTCATAGATCCTTGAAGAGTGAACTGCAAAGCACATTC